AAAAAAAAAAAAAAAAAAAAAAAAGATGTTCAATGTGTATCGTTAAGTGAAAAAAAAAAAAGTTGTAAAACATATGTAGTATGTAGGATGAGCCCATTTTTATAAAAAGAGAAAGGGCAGGCTATCATGAATTAATATTTTAATTAATTTTCAGCCCATTTTTGCCGTGTGCTTATTTGAAAATATTATCTTGAAATTATTAGTCTTGACTCAGCTCTAGGAAAATTTCTTGGCTGGGCGCAGTGGCTCACACCTGTAATCCCAGCACTTGGGGAGGCTGAGGCAGGCAGACCACCTGAGGTCGGGAGTTTGAGACCAGCCTGACCAACATGGAGAAACCCCATCTCTACTTAAAATACCGGGTATGATGGCGCATGCCTGTAATCCCAGCTACTTGGGAGGCTGAGGCAGGAGAATTGCTTGAACCCAGGAGGCAGAGGTTGCGGTGAGCCAAGATTGTGCCATTGCACTCCAGCCTGGGCAACAAGAGCAAAACTCCATCTCAAAAAAAAAAATTATCTAAAGCAAATTAATCCAAAGTGAACAATTCTAGCTGCTACATCATACACTAATATCTTTTGTGCACACTAGGATGACTTTAACAGGTATGTGATGCATTGTGGGGTTGAGTTTGTCTGTTTTCTTTCTAAAATTTCATTTTCAGGCAAAGGTTTTGCAGCTACAATTAGTCAAGCTGCGGGGCCAGCAGGTCCTAACTGCACATGCGCGGTGGGAAGGCTGCCCTGAAGGGCCCCGGGGGCCTGTTCCCTCTCACCTATTCACATTCCAATATTAAAAGCCTATTTCACTTTAGTCTTAGGTGTACTCAACCATAATGGCAAGCTAATTTTTGTATTTTTAGTAGAGATGGGGTTTTACCATGTTGGCCAGGCTGGTCTCGAACTCCTGACCTCAAGTGATCCACCTGCCTGGGCCTCCCAAAGTGCTGGGATTACAGGCGTGAGCCACCGTGCCCGGCCCAGCTGATGCTTAAAAATAAATGCTTACAGACCGATTTGTTCTTTACTCCTTCCAGATGAGCATATGTTTTACCTCCCATTCAATCTCCCTACTCATGGGCAGAAGTGAGCTGTAGGTCTTGGAACTCTCAAGAAGAGAAGGGGAACTCCAATTTGCATATGCAGAATCCAAGCACCTCAGCTCGAGTCCTGGGCTTATTTCTCAGATAATAAGATGACCCCCCTGGAGCCTCTGCACACTGCAGACCAAGCCCGGCTAAGCCTTACTGTGCTGTCCTGAAGGTACTGCTCCCAGATCCCGGCTGTCAGCCCCTGTCCAGCATCGCAGGGCAAGTCCGGAGACACGATCATGTGATTGACCAGGGCTGACAGGTGGGTCCTCACGGTGGACAGGTGTCTGCAGTAGGCCAGCCCTGTTGAGGGAGGGAGGGCAAGTGTCATCATCCACCACCTGAAGCCCCTCACTTTGTCTCATGGGGCCTCCCAAATGCTGTCCCACCCCCCATTTTTAAAAATTTTTGTTTCGAGACAGGGTCTTGCTCTATTATTTATTATTATCATGGCTCACCGCAGCCTCTACCTCCCAGGCTGATGCGATCCTCTCACCACAGCCCCCTGAATAGCTGGGACTGGAGGCACGAGCCAGCATGTCTGGCTAATTTTTTATTTTTTGTAGAGACGAGGTTTCACCATCTTGCCCAGGCAGGCCTCGAACTCCTGGACTCAAGTGATCCTCCTGCTTCAGCCTCCCGAAGTGATGGGATTACAAGCACAAACCACTGCACCTGGCCCACTCCTGTTCTTACTAAACGCCATGACTCAGTGAATGCTCGTCAACTTCCCCTTTTCCAGACAAGGAAGATGGAGCTTGATGCACTTGCTGGCTGGACTGCTAAATAGCTCTATAACCACAGGGAAGTCTTATCACCTTCCTCAGCCTCAGTCAGGATGATGGCACCCTTCTCTGCTCTAAGCCAAAGCATTTAACTCATAGGCTAGAGGCAGAGAAGGGGCAGAAAGGAAGGTGGCCAGTGACTCTGTGGGCTTGCTGTGCCTCTGTCTGCCTCTAATCCATACAGCAAGAAAGAGAATGTGAAATGTGGACAACTCC